CCGGAAAAGCAAAACGAGATTTCCATCCCAGATGGACTTTCCGCGTGGGGGGAATACGGACCATTAGCATCCGATATTGAGAACTCTCTGCCTGGCTGAACGTACAGCTGATATGTAGCTGATTCATTACGCTCCCAGATGCTTTTCGTCAATCGGAAATCCACCTGCGGGTCGACATATGCCGCGCCTCTGTTCCCAACTGTTGGATCAGCGGGAGAACCGCGGGATCGATCCGACTTCGGACGAGGAATAATAATTCGACCGAATTCCCTTGGCACTCGGAGCTCTCTCAATTCTGAATCTCTTATTATCAACTCGCTCCCATAGCGAGCAGAAGCGCCATTCGCCTGGGAGCTTCCTCGGAAACCGCCATCACGTGGAGCGGACCACGTCGATTGCTGGAGCACTTGACGGTCGATCCGACAAGGAGTCAGGATCAGACGATGGGCGAAAGAAGCTCCGAGGAAACGTTTCGAGATATGTATGTGAGATAGCGGAGCGATATGAATGGGCTCCCGAAAACAATGGGGATACTTGGGAGGAGGACACGGATGACCGAGACTCAGGAACGAAGAGCCCAGCGGGAGGTTCGAGCAGCCGTTCGACGACATCCTATGAGGGGGAATAGTTCTGGAGTCATTCGAGGAAACCAGTGCGAGACCGAGGCTCAAAATGAGGGAGAGAGATAAACGGAACCGAAAGTGGAGGGGAATCCATCTGAACCCCATCACCGGCGAGCGATGAGAGGGAGCATCAAACGCGGACCGCCTGTGTGGAACAGCGAATGGGGCGCGGGCCCAGGTCGTGATGGACTGAAAACATCAACTGAAGGATTATGGCTTCCGCGAACCTAGTTATGAGCCTCCCCTGACAGTTTGAGCACCGGCCTGTTCCGCACCTTGTCCTTCGCCGTACAAGTTAACGCTTGAGAGCTCGGCTCGAATGGCTTCTCACTTTGGATGAGCAATCCGAACAAATCGATAGGAGGTGCTTGACACAAACGAGGAAATCCCAGGTATCTGCTGTGCAACGGTGCATGGATCATATTAAATAGGTGAGCGTGGATTCTGAAGGCGAGATGTAGAACCTTCGTTTCAAGGTACTCGAAAACATTAGCTTTCGAGATGGCTCCTCATCCGGGACAGGATAAACGATCGGGAAGGCCGTTTTCGCGGGGCCTGGAAAGCTTGCTCCGGATTGAATTCAACGCCTTCCAGGGTTCGCAGGTTAATTTAGAGGCATTCCGATGTGGAAATTCGAGCTTAGGAACTTCGTTCCGGCTCCGGAATTCCGATCTTTCGCCTCGCAAGTCAGAAGTCCCGGAGTGGACCGTAGGGGGCGTACAGTCAGAGAGAGTCGTTCGGAGTCGGTCCGAGTCTAGGTGCCCTCATCCGCCAGAGCATCCTTCCTGCCCAATTGATTAGGTGCTCTATGTTTCTTGCTACCCGCCGCATTCTCCCCGCTTGATTAAGCGTTCAACGTACAACGATGTCAACGATGAGGACTGCTACGATTTGTTATGTTGGATAGTCGGCTGTATCTGTCTCCACGACGACGGAGGAGCCGGGATCGCCTGTTGCCCACCCCCTTAATTCCTCGCAGTCTCCGGGTAGGGAATCCAGAGAAAGGCTTATTCCTAGGTACTGCTTGCATGGCAATATATATCGTTCATATAAGTCTCTCGAGTGTCTGGATCCGCCCACTTCTGTTCTTCTTCCCCCGAGGACACAAGCGGTGCAGAACACTGTTGTGAGCTCCCGAGCAGAATTTTAGCCTTCGTGGAGACCCACTGAATAAGTAGGCTAGCTCCGATTAAGGCTCGGTATCACTGCACTGAGCTTCTCTATCAGCGGCAAGATCCAGACCCTGTATTTGGATTGTACTCTTGTGAAGATGAATTTCGCTCGAAGGGCCCAGCCGGCAAGGCTGTGTTGCCAGACCAGAATTCCGTCCCGCTCTGACGGATCGGGCTCATGTCAGTCTATCCCGACGGGGACGCTGCGTTTGTCAAGCCTGAGATGCTTGATTGGGGCGGATCCTTGATCAGACCTGAGTAGAAGCGAAAAATGCTGAAGACGAAGGAGCGAGGAGTTCCTCCGGAACGCAAGCGATAGGAATCTCGAAACGAAGACGAACTAAGATGGAGGGAAGACGAATGGAGAACACGGGGAGAAGACTTCGGGAGATCCTCTCCGGGAAGTTTGCGGTCGAAAATTGAATATTTCGAGAGGACCATTGTTGCCGGTCGGTGCGGCATGGCGAGACGTGGTCCGTTTGGCCGCAAGGTCGAGTGCTCCTTTTTGGAGCAGAATTATGAAAAAAAACACAGGGCAGCGAAGGGCTTCCGGGTATGTAGTCGAAGTAATTGTCCTCTTACTCACCCAGCTTGAGCACTTGCTTGCTTGGGTGGCGGTTCCACTGGATTCTTTTGGTCGAAGGCCACCAGCACGGCCGTCCGCGACTGAGGACGTCGCGAGCAGGGGCATAGAGTTCATGATGAAGAGGAACCTTCCTAAGAGACTGGCGCGGCTCCGTCTGCTTCCGTCTTGGGCTTTATCTCAGTCAGTCAGCCAGCCAACCAGCCGAGCGACCGACCAGCAAGTGCGTCCGCTAACTTGCTAGCTCGCTCGCTCGCTCGGCGGTCTGTGTATCTCGGGACGCCGTGTAAAAAAAGGAAACGACGTCCAGTTCGTAAACTGAACCAAGTCTCCACAAACTCCATGAAAGCCGACCCACTTGGTCGCGTGCGCCCCTCCCTCTTCTCTTCTTCTCTCTCGTTTTGGGGATCAGAGACCGGAAAGATTTTCACTACTTAATTTTGCGCGGAGTTCAAACACGAAAAATGACAATGTTGAGCGGGCAACTCGGTCGATGCGGGTTCTGACTCTGATTTCGTTGCGTCTCGCTCGTAGGAGATGATTTTTTTTGCTTACGTCCCCGACACCGGCTCTGACAGCGGTCGCCCCGAATGAAAGTTTCGATTCGGGCTCCCAAGCATCAGTTCTTATCGGGCTGAGCTGCCGAAGCGGTCCCCGATGACGGTCCCGGTACCCTCGGCTGCGGCTGGGTTCCGATGCCCTGCTCCTGATCCGCAATACAGGCGTCCCATCCCGCTCGGTGGAATTTTTACGCCCGACCCAATCTCTGATCGAAACTCTTGACCGCAGAGCTGGCCGAACTCGGGTGTTGTTTCAATAAGTTTACGATGCCGTCGCACGGAAGGAGAGAAAGACTCCCCGTGTAGAGGTTTCTCGGATGTTTGCAGTCGCACGTCCATTGTTCCGAAGAATCTGGGAGACGTAACGAGAAGAATTGTTTTTTTTTCGCGGCCGAAAAATGTGCTGTAGACTTTCCGGTATTCGCGAGGGGGGCAAATCGAAGATCGAATCGGGGATTTCCTCCGACCCTTACCTCCTCGTCCATTTACACGAGCCGGCATTGCTGCCGCACAACCGTGACCCCCACTCCCTTCTATTTACGGCCTACTACCCTGTGTTCATTGCTGCGCTGGATCGTTCAATGTTCTACGATGTCAAAGGGTCTCACCGCACAATTCCATTTCTCAAATGCTACGCCGAAAGCCTCTGCTCGAACGTTCACAATCACTCGAGGGGCCGTCTCTCTCGTTCTCCTCACCCCTTTCCTCTCGAATCCCCGGCCTACAGCTTTTTTCTCCCTCGACCGGGTCTCTCCGCTACCCTTCATCCTTCTCCGACTCGCCCGTTTTCTCGTCTTTCATCCTCACCCCCTCACCTCGTCGCGGTACCGATCCGGTGAGGGGCTTAGGAGCCGCTCCCCCCGACACGTTCCTCGAATGCCGAGTGGAACCTATCTAGATCCTCGAGGGGCATGGGAGCTAGCGGCGAGTCCCCGCAATGGTCATTGTAGTCACGGGAAAAAAATCGAGTCGCCACCAGCTTCTCAATCGAGTTTGGAATTCAAGCGCAAATACTTCTTCGGAATTCCAGGAACGGTCGTAAGGGTGGATCGTCGAGGCGAGTCGGCTATGGCACGTCGAACCTTCGCAGCTGTCATTGTCGTCCTTTGCGAGGAAATAGCACCCGGTGTCAACGGAGACGGTCACAAGCAGTTAGGTCGAATGAATGCCTCATTGAATGAATTCGAAAACGCTCGCGTCCTCTCCCCGATCGTATGGCGGTCGGACGATCTGGTGTTCTCGCCTCGCCCGCGAGGCTCGTAGACTTGGGGCCATTGGATCGATGATTATGATCGGGACCATCACAGCGCTGGCGATAACAACGCGAAAATAATGACGGCTGTCCATTGTGCAAAGACCTGAAGCATGGGGGACCATGCGACGCAACACAAGGGACTGCTGAGCGAGCATGCGCTGAACGAACTCCAAAACGAGCCATGACTACGCGTGAATCAGATTTTATTCTGCTTCATCACGTATATAAGGCAGATACTATGAGCGAGTCATCCACGGCAATCAGCTGTCTGCCAACAAACACGTCACGTGCCGCAAGCTCACCGGTCCAGGTTCAGGTGAGTTTGAATCGACTGCGAACCTCGTGCCACGAGGATGCTCGTGTGAATTTAGAGCAGTAGCATTTGATTGCGTACCTCACGCGTCACGTTGGCGAATCCATTCTCAAAAATGGACCATACAGAGAATGTTTAAACTCAAATTAGCGAAGAGGAGGGCCGTCAGTCACGAGAGAAGCGGAGATGATTTTTTTTCGAGAGGTACTCTCTCACGGAATTGTTTCCTGGGACCGACCCAGTCCCCATCCCTCGGAAGGTTTTGCCTGCGGGGGAGCTATGCGCAAAAAATGCGATCTATTGACGGAGCTTGGAAATTGGCATTTCCTACCTAGAGCTTAAAAGATTCATCGAAATTCGAATTACCAATTCCGATTGCAACTACAGAAACCCACGCTCTGCTCAAGTATTCCCGAAGGTTCCGAGAGGATACCAGAAAACAATGATCGTATCAAAGTTCAAGAAGAGATCCATCGTCAGGAGAGAGTACTCACATGCGAGAAAATATTTATCCCGTCCGTGGCGTTGAACGATGTATTTGTGCATGGCGGAGGCATAATTCAGCTGGAGCCCGTAAGTGATCGCATTCACGGTGAAGCAGCACACCATAACGACCCAGCCCCATTCACCTTCCGGATAGTAATGCTGTCGAATAGTTGCGATCTTTTGCTCGGCTTCTCGTCTGCTCAAATTGGCAGCGGTAGCTGTCGGGGGTGCCGAATCCCTTCCGACATAGGAGGAACGTCGATGTTCCTCGAGAGTCGTCGGCGCCGGGACTTTGAATGTCGGAGCGTCGTCTCCGGTGAGCGTGTTCGTCTGTTGCGTAGACGAGCTCCACGTTCGTGCTCGAGGTCCGTCATCGGCATCAGTGTTCGTTCCCGAGCTCGTTGTAGAGTTCGAGAGAAGTTCTTTCTTTGACATCTCTCCAAATGCTTAATGCCGAATCTCACTACGGCGGGTTGAGGTTCGGCCAATGTTCACAGATCATGGGAAGCGCTCTCTGAGGATCTATCTCCTAGGGGACAACGCAAACGACGACCGCACCAACGATCACCACCCCCGATAATGCCACCGTCACTGTCCGTGGAGCCGCTGCTGAGAGCACCACCGGCAGAGGGGGAAGAGGAAGAACACCATACTTCGATGAGCAAGTCTAATGAACGAAGAATGAGCCCGGACCGGCCTTGCAGGACAGTACCTTCGGGATTTTGAGCCGCTGCCAGAAAGAACGCGGCGTTCCAGAACCAAGTCCAATAATTTAGAACAATCACCAATCGATGCAGACACAACCACACATCTCGACGAGCGCTTCTCCCACGCGCCGTGTCCTCACTGTTTTCTATTTGCTCGTTTCTTGACAGTTTTTTCTGGAGTTTTCCTTCAGTCAAGGATATCCGGGAAAAAACACCTCTGCCGCCGACGTTCGAACCTCCTCGCTGTCACTCAAAATCTGTTCGCGGTTGATAGTGCACAGGTGAAGATCAAGCAGCGATGGAAAAATAATCTGGCAAACTGTCGACTGTGAAATACTTCCAGAGCCGAGGTTTCAGACCGAGAAGCCGGCTTAGGGAACAAGATTCGAAGCCGGCTTATTTCCACGCGCTGCTCATTCCCGCTGCTTCCCTGAGAGCCCGTGGAAAAAGGAGGCGTGGTAAGGGAGAGGTCCCTTTGCTCCCTCGCCTCAACTACCCGAACCAAGCGCCGGTCCGTGATGTAGTAGTGGCGGCAGCCGCGGGCCGAGCAGCGGTCGCATCCACGACAACGAGTCGGAACGACAGAGTCGTTCGCACTCTGCACAGATGCTTACGAAATTTTATTTGTCGTTTGAATGAAGCGTACTCCCGAAGCTCCGTGGAGTCCGATCCACACTCCGGAAAAACTGTATCGGAATGATTTCCCTCCCCGGTTTTCCGGTGAACATACTCCATCGCGCGAGGAAAGGGGGCGGAGGCTCGATGGGAAGAAAATCGGAAGGACTTGGAATCTCTTGCATTGAATGAAGCGATGCCGTGAACATCCGCAGTCCTCGACTAAGAAGACTCCGGACTCACGATGGCATCGCCTGCGAATAATCGTTTGATGACTCTTGATACTTCTAATGACTTTCGGCCTCTCGTTCGTTCGCGGTCCCACTTGAAAGGGCATCCGCAAGACTCGATTCCGTTTCATTTCCATTCGAATAGATCCGATACGAGCATCGTGAATATCAGAGTTCGCTCATGGAGTCGTCTGCTTGTGTCAATGACGCGGTTAAAAAAGAAGCAGCGGCATTCCAAGTGTATTCATCACAAAAAGAAAACGACTGACCCAGACGACTCTGGTTCAACGTGCCCCCGAAGACTTACTCGCTCTGGTAAAATTGATTCTATGTTCTGGGAATTCGGTACTCGCATTCTCGTCTCTGATGACAGTAAATCTGCTGCATCGATTTGCTTCATTTACGGGAAACAACTTTGTCCCCGGCGGGTCCAGAACTGTTCGGAGCCTAAAAAATTAGATTCGACGCGAAGATCGATTCCCGTCGGACAGGTAAAGAAGCTCATCGAGCTGGGGTCTGGCAGCAAATTAAATTTATTGATTCTAATCAGGGAAGTGAGTTATTGATTTTTGACAGGGAATCGGAGAAAAGATCCCTGATTCGCTCGGCCGATCTGGTGAGAGCATAAAAATATCTGATCCCGGCCTCGGAACAAATCCATCAGAGACTCCTCGATTCTCCTACCCTCCCAAACTGAGACATACATACATTAGACTAGAAATTGGGAACCGCCCCTCGGCGTAGCGTTTCACGCTGTCGTGACCATAACACCGTGGCATCGGGCGGCGCCGTCGCCACCTTCGGGACTATCATCACCACTGCCACTGTTATCGTTGTTGGAGCTCCCGCGAGGAGTGAAGAACGGAAAGGATATTTGTTCTCACAGGCGAGTACGTGTTGGAAAGATGAACAGGATTTTCAACAAGAGCGCGGCACGTGGGGCGGTACCGAAAATCTATCGATACACACGCCATCGCCTCCTCCACTCTCTTTCTCCTCGTCTCCCTTTTTCGTTCGTTCGTTCGCTCCGATCGGCTGCCGCGGGAACATAAGAATACCGCCACTGCCGCTCAGTAATTATGGACAGCCGCTCGCAAGTTGATTCGCGGATTGGACGGAGCGTCCGAAGAAATCTATTGTACTTCGATGTCCCGTCGACGGTTAAATCGATCGAGTGCCGACCCTGATCACTCATGACTCGGCGACGTCAGTCCCACGAATGGTTTTTCTGGGTTACCATTATCTACTCGAAGCTCAGTAGTAGAAGTCACTAAGTGGGACGTTTTCATACTTTCTGGTTCATCGACTAAAGAGGAGAACGAAAGACGTTACGAGTAAGTGCGCGGACACTTCGATCGATGGCGAGCGGCCCAAACCGGCTGAGCCGAAGTCGACAGGCTGACACGGGAGAGTGGCTCATAAATTCTCATTCGTTCGCTCGGTCCCGCCGCCGAACGTTCATTCGTCGGTGGGTCTGTTTGAAAATGGCGCCGCATTAAAATTCGTTGTTGACAGGCCTCCGCCATACCACCAGCGACCGTCAACGCCGTCGGACCACACATGCAAACGCAGGAGTAGATCCTGACCGTCTCGTCGTTGAGGTTTCTTGCGTGTTTGACCACTTGTTCGAAACGTGAAGCGGTCGCTCGTCCACCGAGCGCGGCTCGACGTTGAATGATCTACCGACCGGATTCGCGCGTTCCCGTGGCAGTGGACGAACGACGGAGATAAATATCCGCTGATGCATTCTGCTTACGTAATTACTGCTAATGTCAACATTAGCCCTCGGGACCTCAGTCGACAAACTTCGACGAACCTCGATAAAATCTACCACAGCGACGATCGAGCCATATCCTTGAACGGGAGAAGATACGGAAACCTGCTCGAGAGCGGTTACGCTAATCATTGTCCCACCGTCTTGGAGCTCGGAGAATGAAAATCTAGAACTGAAGGATTACGGAAGTCTGAATCACGAAATCGAAATTTACTGATAAGCTCAAGCCAGCGCGGTTTGAATCTGTTTTCAATTCCGAGCTGGAGCCAAAACCGGACCGAGTCGCGATCCAAGAACCAAGACAATAAAAACATTTGTGCTCTACCGCAAGCTCAATGATGGCTTTCTACTTCCTCCAAGCGGTCCTCGAGTTGGTCGATGACTTTTCGCAACGCGTGAACATCTTGACAAGTCTTCTGCTTGAAGGCTCTGCACTCGCGGAGCAAGCTCAGTGTCTTCTGCAGCTGTTCGTCGCTAATTCTTTGAACGAGTGGCATGAAGAGCATTTTCAGTACGCATCCCGACAAGCCGATGAAAGGGTTCCCCGTCTGACGCATACAGGGGCCGAAAACTCGCTCGAAATTTTTCACGAACGCAGCGCACAGCTGATCCCGGTGTCTTCTTGCACCCCAACGGTCTGCTAGTGCTAATAGCGGAACAAGCCAAGCTTCTAGACCCCGTTTGAGCACGCCTTTGTCATCGACGATTTTCGCTCTCGCTAGGTCCTCGGCATCGAGTAAAGCGAGCATCTTCTCGACCAGTCTCGAATCTTCTTCAATCTGGAGCTGATAGCCCGATGTCGTGGGAGCGCCGAGTTTGCCGACTTCACATAGATTGAAAATTCTTGATTTCACGGCTATGATCTTCCGGTCCCTGGTTATCAAGCTTATCACTCCTGTGATGGGTTTCACCTCTCCTTCGTCAGAGTGTGGAGCTGATCGAGAAGGGTTAGTCTGAAGTGTAGTCGGGGAATCCCTCCGTAGTTTGCGTCCTGAATACAGCATCCTATCGGCAGATCCTCGCTGGAGCTCCTGACTGCTCACTTCCGTCTCGAAGGAGCCGCGTGAGCCGTTCGGGCGCTTCTTGTAAGTAGGTTTACTGCTTTCGGCGAGTGATGTCAACTTCATTATTCTCCGAGTGACTGTGACTGGCGAAGACAATGACGGTCCCGGGACTTGTCGTTCTGCGGCTGATTAGCCCGCGGGAAGGACAAAGTTCGTTCGAGTCGGCAACACTACTGCACCGCTTAGTGAATAAAAAATTGTCGAGCTCACTAGCTCTGAAAGGTGATGCCCGAGGCTCAAGAAGGCTTTCCTGTACAGACTTGACTCCCCCACAGGCAGCTGATTCAGTGTTTTCGCGCTCTGTGGCTTCCCAATCTCACGATGGATGCAAATCACTCAGATGTTGTATTTTTCCGACGATCGGTCCTCACGCGCGAGTAGCCGTGATTGAACCTTCCGTACGGTCGCCGAACCTCGCAGAAACTGTTCCGGAAATCCCTGCGGGGCCTCGAAAATTTTGAGTCCCCACTGAGAAGCAAGAGAGTCCGCCATGGAATATTTTCGACGGGGCAGAAAACGGTTCCAGAGCGGTCGTTCCAAAGGCTGATATTTCTCCGTCGCCATTCGTTGACCATCGATCAAGCTGGACTTATCAGAAGCTGCGATCTCTAAATTTCTTCATATATTCTTCAGATGTCTCGCGTTTTCGAACTGAGGGGTCAGCGGAAAGATTATATCCATGCAACAGCCGGAACCCCCGCTATTATCAAACAAATCGGTCGTGCTCTGTGATCGGAGTGCGCAGATAACTTTGGAAGGGTCTTCGGCAGCTTCTGTACGACGAGAAAGAATATGTATAATAATGACGTCTCGTTTTTCGAAGGCCGAATGCAAATGAAAGTTGGCTCGGAAAGAGCGTGCAATCATGACGGGGAGCACTAGGGCGACGCCTCCGCCGCCGTATTGAGTGCGTCTCCTCCCTATGACAAATCGGAGTCATTAGCCCTAACAAGCCCCGTGATCTAAAACAATATTTTCAGAGTTATTCCACCTCCCGTGCTCGGACACATCTAAGATACCAGAGTCGTAACTCTCACAAAACTCA